ACCACCCCCCACCTCCCCCCTCTTCTTTTTCCTCCTCCCTCCTCCACCCGCCCCTCCCCCCTTCTTTTCGATCCCCCCCTCCCCGCCGTCCCCCCTCACCCACGCCCCCCACCAGCCCCAGAGCACCCCACCCCCCCCCGTTCCGCCCCCCCCCCCCCCCCCCCCCTCCTCCTCTCCTCCTCCCCTGTCCCCCTCCCCCTCCCTTCACCTCGTCCTTCATCTTTGTGATCGTGGTCCTGTGCTGCTCCACCTCCTCCTTCAAGGCCTCGCTCGACTTTGCGTGCTCGTTCCTCTCCTGCTCCAGCTGAGTGTGGAGGTCAGAACCATGGAGAACGATCGGGGGAGGGGGAACAGGGGAAGGAAGGAGAAGAAAGGAGAGGAGGGAGCCAGGGGCGAGACACGCAGTGTGTGGGTGTGTAATGGTGATGGTGGTGGTAGTGGTTGAGGAGGACAGGAGGGGAGAGGGGGTTCGAAGACAAGGAGGAGCACGGGCAGAAGGAGGAGGACGAAGACGAAGAGGAGGAGGAGGTGGTGGTGGTGGTGGTGGTGGTGGAGGAGGAGGAGGAGAGTTCAACCTTGTCCCGCACTTCGTTGCTTGCTCGAATCACGTCAGTCAGGTTGTTGACCTCCTGCTCAGCTTCCTTGGTCCTGTGCTCGAGCCCTTGGACGGACACTTGGAGGGCAGCGACGAAAGAAGTTTTCTCCTGCAGCTGCTGCAGCTGCCTCTCCCCCCTACACGCTGCCCAGCAGCCCCAGGCTCTTCTTAGCTGCTTGCTCTCTACCCGCAGGTTCATCCCCTGCAAGGGCAAGTTGAGCGTGCGGGAGACTGGAGGGAGGAGGAGGTGGGGGGGGGGGGGGGGGGGAGAGGATGACGAGGGCAAGAGGGCAGAGCAGGGCAGCCAAAGGGAGAGAAGTGAAAAGCAAGAGGGGATGGAGAAGCAAGAGGGGATGGAGGAGTGGGAGTGGAGGAGGAGTGGGAGTGGAGGAGGATGGGGAGTGGGGTTGGGAAGGGGGAGGAGGAATGTACCAGCATTCTGAGGCGGAGCTTGTAGGAAGCGACGTGAATCTGACGCCACTGCAAGAGAGAGCAGCGAGCGTGTGCGAGGATACGCCGAGCATGCATCCTCCTCGCACTCTCCGCCCTCCTCTCCTCCATCTTCCCGCTCCTCGCCGCCTGCCGCCAGGCGTAGAGCTATGGAGGTCACCGACGTCAAATCAAATGAAGACAACAGGTAAGGGGAGAGGAGGACGAAGAAGAGACAGGCGAGGAGGAGGAGGAGGAGGAGGAGGAGGAGGAGGGAGGAGGAGGGAGCATGTTCCCTGCACTTACCGTCCTCAACTTCCATCCTTGCAACGAGCCGGAGCTGCGCAAGAAGCTTCTGCCCTCCTCCGCATACATCAAGATTCCGCAGAACCCCACACGGAGGAGGAGAAGGTCGCTCCTCCTCCTCGCCAGCAGCTCCAGCAAGCTCTCCACCTCCTCCCGCCCTCCAGCGCCTCTCAACATGGCTTCCTCCTCATCTCTCACCAGCTTGTCTCCCCTCCCAAGGCAGAGCTCCACCAGCGCTCTCTCTTTCCTCCTTGCAGCCCATCGCCTCTCCTGCCTGCTCACCCGCTGCCACCTCCTCATCGTCCTCCGGGCCCTGAGCTTGCCCTCGTCCAGGAGGAAGTGAACGCCAGCCAGCGCGCGCGACCCCCTCCTCCATCGCCATCCTGCCATTGCCCTCCGCATCAGCTGCTGCTGGGCGAAGAGCAGAGCAGCTTGTTGGGTCCAGCGCAGGAGGGAAGTGGCGGTATGGAGGAGGTGAAGTAGCATGCGCATCTTTAGTTCCTCGTCCTCCTCCTCCCTCCGCGTGCTCTGCAGTAGGACCCACATGCTGCCTTGCGCCAGCAAGCGCGCGATGCTCGTAGCCTCCCGGTCAGGACGGAGGAGGAGGAGCTTGGCGTGCTGGGCGACGCTGTGGTCGCTGCGAGACGAGAGGAGGAGGATAGATCGAAGCATCCGCTTGCCTGCGGGGAAAGTGAGAGGAGGAGGCGCCTGCTGGAGCAGAGCGTAGCGGCAAGGATGAGAGCAGGGGAGGCAGGAGGAGGTACAAGGAAGGGGAGAGGTCAGGACAAACAAGAAAGGAGAGAGGAGAGAAGAGAGAGGGAGGAGGGAGGAGGGAGGAGGGAGGAGGAGGGAGGAGAGGGAGGAACACAATGGAGGAGGAAGTCAGGCAGATACGCAGAGTAGCAGGATGGGAGGAAGCGGCAAGCTGGTAGGGCCTCAACTACTCACCGTCGATCCTCCTCGCAAACCTCGACACTTTGCAGGCAATCTTCAGCCATCGCATGCCCCTCCTCTTCACCCCCCGATCTCCCGCGCGCACTGCCGCTGCCTCCGCCCTCCTCCTTCTGCTGGTGCTGGCAGCTGCCCGACGGAAGCGCAGCAGCATCCTTCGCATGACGAGCAGCTCATAGAGATCGACTGCTCGCTCCATCTTCTCCTCCGTCGCCTTCATCCTGTTTAGCTGAGCCAGGTAGTCTTCTGCCTTGGAGGATACGAATGCCTGTGGAATCCTATCAGCTTCTTCCTCACCTCTCCTCTCCTCTCCTCTCCTCTCCTCTCCTCTCCTCTCCTCTCCTCTCCTCTCCTCTCCTCTCCTCTCCTCTCCTCTCCTCTTCTCTCCGCTACTCTACTCTCCTCTTCAACACTTCTCCCCTCCCTTCTCCCCTCCCCTCTCGACCTCCCCTTTCCGACTTCGCTTTCCGAACCTTCGAGTTCTTCTACCCTCCTAACTGCCCTTTTACTTCATCGTTCTATCCTCCACCACTGTTTCCTTCTTCAGCCATCCCGCTGCTATTCCTGCCACGCCCTTCTTTCCTTCACCCTCCATTCCTATATTCCCTTTGACCCTCCTCTTCCTTCTCCTCCTGAACTTCCTCCTCGTCCTCCTGCTCTTCTCCTGCTCCTCCCATACCGCCTCGTTGGACAGCTTCTTGAAGTCGTTCCTTGCTATGCTCAAAGACGCTTCCAGCTCTCCCTTCCTCTCGCTGAGCTCCTTCAGTTGCTCCCGGTAGATCAGCTCCGCACTGCCCTCTGATGCCGAAAGAGCGTCCACCTGCCGCACACATGAGCAAAAGAGCGGCTGGACTTCAAGAGGGAAGGAATGCAGGGCAAGGGGAGGATGAGGAGAGCAGGACGAGAGGAGGAGGACGAGGGGAGGAGGGCAGAAGGAGGAAGAGGAGGAGGATGAGGAGGAGGGTGAAGAGGAGGAGGAGAAGCAGAAGAAGGAAGAGGAAGAGGAGGAAGAAGGAAGGAAGGAAGAGCTAAGCAAAGAGAAGGAATGGAGGGAAGAGTAGGAGAGAGCAAGCAACAGGAGAGGTTTGAAATCTCCTTCTCCTTACCATCGCTTGCAGCGCATTCACTTTAGCCTCCAGCGGCTTCCTAGACTCTAGAGCGCTCTTCTCTACCTTCTCTCGCTCCTCCTGAAGTCGAAAATCCAGCTGACAGCCGGGCTGGTCAGACTCCGAGCAGCAGCAGTGCAGATCGTACCTCCTCCTTCATCTTCCTCTTCTCCTCCTCCTCCCTGCCACTCGTTACTCCCCTCCCTCCGGCACCTCCTCCTCCACCTGCTCTCCAGCTCCTTCCTGGTCCTCTCCAGCTGCTCCCGGGCAGTTCTCAGCTCCTCCTCGAGCTGCTGGGCAGATTTCTTGGAGGCGGTCTTGCTGCGCTCTAGATCCTCCTGGAGCTTCTTGATGCTCTTCTCCGCCTCCTCAACGTTGGCGTTGTTCTGTGCCATCACTTCATCTACCCTCTGCCGCAAAGTCAGCCCCAAGCTCCTTCCCTCATCATCTGCTCCTCCTCCCCTTCCACTGCTCTGCTCTGCTCTGCTCTGCTCTGCTCTGCTCTTCTTCTCTGGATCTCTCCCACCTCCTTTAGCTTCAAATTCTGCTCCAGAAGATTTTCTTCCTCCTGCCGGAAAACCAACGTCAGGGTGAGGGGAGGGGAGGGGAGGGGAGGGGAGGAGAGGAGAGGAGAGAGGAGAGGAGAGAGGAGAGGACGACTTGCCTTCACGCGCGCAAGGAGGTCTGCTTGCAAAGAGCTCTTTTGCTCCTGCAGCTCCTCCATCATCCTCCATAGCTGCATCACATCCTTTGCAACGAGTTCAACATCCCGCCCAAAAGGCAGCGAGGAGGGAGGAAAGACGAGGAGGAGAAAGGAGAAGAACGAAAGGGAGGGAAGATGGGAGGGACGGAGGGAGGGGAGATGGTAAACAGAGGAAAGAGAGAGAAAGGAGCGATCGAGCCAGGCTGGAGGAAGGAGGCTGAGGTGGGAGCGGAGCGCGAGCTGAGAAGGAGGAGCACATCGGGAGTAACCTCGACTTCTCTCGTTCTCTTCTCCGATCCCGTGGGCTCCTTGTTGGCTGACGTCGCACTTGCTGACTGCTCAGCCGCTGGTACGTCCTCGAGGGAGGAGGGAGCAGCTGGGCTCCTGCTGCTGTGAGCTGCTCCTTGGGTGATGGGGTGGGGTGGGGCCCGCGGGGTCTGACCATCAGGTGGTCACATTTGGAGGGGAAGAGGAGAGAGAGAAGAGGAACGGAGAGGGTAGGGGAGAGGAGGAGAGGAGAGGAGAGGAGAAGAGGAGAGAGGAGAGGAGAAGGAGAGGGGAGGGGAGAGGAGAGGAGGAGAGGAGAGGAGAGGAGAGGAGAGGGGAGGGGAGGGGAGGGGAGGGGAGGGGAGAGGAGAGGAGAGAAGGAGAGGAGAGGAATGAGGGGAATGGTCTGATGGATCACTTACCGGAAGAGCATCGTCCCCATCATCAGAGGCCTGAGCATGCTGCACAATGTACTTGTGCTCCAGTGAAGAAGAAATGCCTGCTCCAGCTCCAGCTCCAGCTCCAGCTCCTGCTCCTGCTCCTGCTCCTGCTCCACCCTTCTCACTGAAGCTCAGATCTGCTCCTCCGAACGACAGCCCTTTCTTTGCTCCCTCTCCCTCCCTCCTCCCACGCCGTGTCGAGGAGAAATTGTCCTGCCCAGGGAGAAACGACGGCGACTTCTCCTGCAGCCTGTCGGGGCTCATGCCGTGCTTGGAAGCGACGCGCATGCTCTGCCCTCCTCGTCCCTGCACGGGGGAGATGGTGGAGATGCTCATGCCGTGCGAGGCCATGGCTGACACTTGCGCCCTCAGCTCTCGGATAATCGATTCCCTGTCTTGCAGCGCCCTCCTCTCCCTCTCCTCCTGCTCCAGCCGGAGGTTGATGATGACGTTGGCCTGGTTGGCTAGAGCACGCATCTTGTCTTCGGCCTCCAGCTTCACCTCCTGCACGCGCGCCAGCATGCGGCTGACGCTCGACTGCTGGGCCATGAGGACCTGCGACAGCGATGAGCAAGGCTGGGAAAACAAGGATGAATGTTGGGAGGGAGTTGTGGAAGTATGAGGAGAAGGGGTAAGAGAGGATGAGGGAGGGGAGAGGACGAGGGCAGGAATAGAGAAGTGCAGTGGAAAAGGGAGGCGATGAAAAAGTAGAGGAGCATGGAGGAGAGGAGAGGAGGCTAGGACTAAAAGCACAGCAAGAACACAGGAAAGAACATGGCTAGAAGTCTCAAAACCTCTTTATACGCCATCTCCCATTGCTCGTGATCAGGAGCAAGCTTCCTTGGCTTCGATGGCTGCGACGCAGAAACACAAAGTGTCAAGAACTTGATGGTCGTCTAAGTTCAGGTGGGAGAAGCAACTAGTCCCATCGAGATCACAAACGTCTGCGTCGCTATAACCCGTGCCTTTCTCTGTTCCCTCCCCCTCCCCTCCCCCTCCCCTCCCGCTTCCCCTCCTCCTCCTCCTCCTCCTCTTCCTCCTCCTCCTCCTCCTCATGATCATCATTTCTTCTCCTCTCGTAATTTCTCGCCTTCACTACAACCTCTGCTACCATCGTCTTGAGACAAAAACATCTCACCTGCATCTCTTTCTCAAGGATCGACATGGAGGCAGACACATCAACGTCTTTGTTGCCTGCACAATTCCTTCAGCCTTCCTTCAACCCCTTACAGCTCCCTCACTGTTGTCGATCTTCGCTGCCCGGACTTGCATTTTCCTTGCTCAGGGCATTAGAAACGCATTCATCTCCACTGACTAACTCACAAGTGCGCCAGCACCCTGTCGCGCTCCTTCGAGCCGATGGAGCTCTCAAAATCCCACATCTTCATCAAGTTCAGAGCAGAAAATCCCTCATGTTTGCAGGCAAACATTCAGCGGGAGAACAAGGTATGACGTGGGAAGGGGCATGAAAGCAAGTGCATGTCCCCCACGGATGCGAGTGAAAGGCAGAGCGTAACACCACTGATAGAAGATGCACTGGGGAAGTGCCACAGCAGGAGTATGACCTTGCAGGAGCAAGAGAAGCGGGGGGAAGGGGAAGGGCAAACAACTGCAGAAGACGAGAGAAGAGGAGACCAAGGCTGTACAAGAGCTTGAAGAACAAGCACAGGCACTATCTTACCTCGATCGACTTGCGGGTGTCGATGGCTCTAATGTCAGGCATCTCAGCACGATTTAAGGCCGTCACTCGGCCGTAGAAGACTTGCATCATCTCAGCATGCAGCTGCATCCTCTGAATCACAGCGTCCTGGTGCGGGGCAGAGTAAGGAACACACTCACTGCAGCTGCTGACTGATCACCAGTTTCTTCTGCAGAAAGTGGTTGCTGAACATGATCTTCAACGTTTCCGCCTCTTCCTTCAACGCTACGTCGAGCACCTGTCAGCAGGATCCCGTGAGTCTCCTGCCATGGTCAAGATTTCGCGGGGCACGTTTCTCTCCGACGGTTTGACTTCTTTGTTGTCCAGCAACTTGAGCTTCGGGAGGTTTTTGATAACATGTAGCCGATAGAACGGCCACACAGTAATGGGGTTCCCGTCCAGGTTGAGCACCTGCAACTCTGTCATGCCTCCTGTCAAACACACAAGCTCGTCGTCCTCTAGTTCAATCTCGACTCCATCATCAGCATCGACAACTTCATTCTCCTCATCATACTGACGTCCTCAGATCTCTTCGCTCTCCCCTCGCACTCGTCCCCTCACCCGCTATCACTAACTCTCCCATTGTCACCCTGTCTGTGCCTATTTCTCTCTCACTCTCTCCTGTGTCGCTCCCCCGCTGTCTCTCTGTCTCTTTCATCTCTCATATCGACAACACACCTGTAGCTGAGGAATGTCCTGTAAGACCTGCAGCTCTGAGAACGACTCGATGCAGTTACATGCAACGGACAGCACTCTCAGCCTTCGAAACTGCATCCTCACCGTCAGCCACAAACTTCTCACGTGCACGTTCAGCACCTGTCGGAATCCTGTCAAGCTGTTGATGCTGTTGTTGCTGAGATAGAGGATGTCCACATCAAGGAACTTGTCAGGGATGGGATCGACTTCTGTTATATTCTTCTCCACAACACTGATCTTGTTGGGCTCGACAGAGCTCGGTACCTGCCTGAGGACTTGCGACAGCTTGAGAGTCTGTCTTTCAACTTTCCCTCTCCTCCTGCTCTTTGTGGGTGAGGACCCTGCTGCTGCGGATGCTTGCTTCCGCGAGGTATTGAAGGACGAATAACTTGGTACTGCTGATATTGACCTGCTCATTGTCTGCCTTCTTTTGTTTTTCAGCTGCACGCGCTCCAACCCCTCAACTTGAGTTCATACGCCGACAACTTCGGATGAGTCGGAAAAGATGAGTAGACCTCTCAATGATCGGAAGCAATACCAACCATCCGCACCTGCTACTGAGTTGGATCAAACTCCTTGTAAGAAGCAATACCCGCCCTCCCTCCTCCCTCCTCCTGCTTGCCCCCATCTCGGTTCCGTTGCCTTGCTTGTTTGACTTACTTGTCTCTTGCTCTCCGTCTCCTCTCCATGCGCCTCCTGCCTCCTCTTCCTCCCCTCCCCTCCCTTTCGCCATTACCTCTACTTTCAAAATCTTGATCGCTGGATTGACTACAAACTTTAAACTATATTGACTAAAACACCTAACATTGGAAATATTGACTATAGAGCCGTTTCAAGTCCGGCCGCAGTCAGTGCCAAGTCACGAGTTGACCCGCCGGTACCGTCGCGCGCGGGCCGCCCGGTGCCGGCCGGGGGCCCGGGCCGGGGGCGGCCGCTTGAAAACCGGGGTTAGGCTACACGGAGGCTGGCATGACAACCGTCTACGCGGGCGCCCCGGCGGCGGGGCGTGCCAGTGTGCATCCGAACCTTTTGATGACCGGGCGGCCACCAAACGTTTTCGGGCCGGAGAGTCGGAGCCTTCCGACCGTCTAAGTCACTGACTGCGGGGGCCCGGTGAGTTGCGCTTTGCGAAGTTCTGTACTGTGCCGACAGTCAAGTCGGGGACGGCAGCGCTGAATGCCATGGCAGTGATCGGATGGTCTTCCGACATCCGAGTCGCAAGACGTACGGTCCCAGGCTCGGATTAGTAACTTAAGTCAAGTTTTGCCAAGTTGGGGACAGCACGGTCCTCAAGATCATCTGGGGTCCGAGCGGTGAGAACCAAACCTCATCCTGCTGACTGCTTTGAGTAAAGAAAAGTGACTCAGTGTCCGACGGTGACTGAGTCACGCCCGGACGGTTAAACTTGCCACACCATGCCATGATGGCCGGGCCTCAGGCGGCCGGCGGCGGTGCCGGCCGCGGCGGCGACTCATGCCGGCCGGGCCCGATACCTAAATAATTGATGATGACCCCACCCCCCCAATTAAACTTATCTCCCTACCCCCACCCCCGAAAAACTACCCACCTACCACAAAACATAACTGCTAGCCATGTTTGTACCCTCCCGTGCAAGGGACTTTCGAGTCCATTTTTGCTCCACTGTACCCATACGGGTAGTACTACCCCACCCCCTCCCAAAACACGACCCCTCCGTCCCACGGAACCAGGGGATGCAATGGTTGCGCCTGCCTTTCAGGATGAACATGCGAGGAAACGCTCATGAGAGCGAGCTAGCGAGAAAGATCACGAGAAAGAATGGAGGAAGAGAGGGGAAGAGAAGACGCGGTGAAGGTAGAGCAAGAAGATCATGGTATGGTAGAGGAGGAGGAGGAGGCACAGGCAGAGGAGGAACCAAAGTCGGTACCAGAAATTGCTATTGGGAATCATGACCGGGTTAGGGATAAGGGCAGAGTAGACGGGGAAAACATGGCGGAGGATGGTACTGCAACAGATAAATGCAAGGATGAGGACAAGAACGAAGATGACAAAGAGAGTATATCGCATGTAGAGAAAAATTATGAATGGGCTATGATGTTTTGAAGTCGGATTACTGATCAGCGAGTCGAAGGTGGTGTAGAAGAGGGACAGGCAGGTATAATACAGCTGCAGTCCCATCACCTTAACCTTACTTGATGCGGAGATCATGTGACAGAGGGAGTCGTAGCCTCATGTTCGCCTCTAAATTGTTTTCCTTTCACTATTTTCCTTTCTGTTTTCTGTTGCTTCCCCTCCAATATGCTGCAATTCCATGACAAGCTTCGCTGCAGGCTGAATGGTGGTAAGAGCATACCTGGAAGCAGACATCTTGTAACCGTTTCCTACTTATCCCAAGACAAGTATGTCGAAATTTCCTTCTTATCCGAACTACGAAGTAGTTCGGCAGCTAGGTAAAGGAGGGATGGGTGTAGCGTACATAGTCAGGAGCAAGGATTCATCAGTCACGGGATTTCTTGCCTTGAAGCAAGTGCACTGCCAGAGCAAGCAGGAGGGGACTGGCGCCCTCAAGGAAGCAAAGATCCTCCGCAGCCTTTCGCACGTCAACGTAGTTCGGTACCACGACGTGTTCCTACACCTTGAACGCGGGATGCAGTTTGTCTGCACAGTGATGGAGTTCTGCCGTTCGGGCGACCTGGCTCAGCATCTCCTGCAAACGAAGCAGTCGGGCAGCCAGATCGAGGAAACGATCTGCCTCACTTGGATGCTGCAGCTGAGCACGGCGCTAGCGTACCTGCATGACAAGCGGGTGATCCATCGGGACTTGAAACCTGCCAACGTCTTCCTCCACCTCATGTCTCGCTCGGACTTCGTACTGAAGCTTGGAGACTTCGGTCTGTCAGCGACCCTGGACGGGAGGAACAGGACGAGCCAAGTTGGGACTCCCTGCTATCTCGCTCCCGAGGTCCTGTTCAACGAGCCGTACGCTGAGCCGATCGACGTCTGGGGAGTGGGATGTATCTTCTGGGAGATGGTGTCCCTGGAGTTCCTGTACGAGAGGAAGGGCATGCTTGCTGCTAACGTTCACACCGATCCCATCACGCAGGACTCGCTTCCCCCTAAGATCAGCGTCAACGTCAGGAAACTTGTCTCCGCCTGCCTCAACAGCTCCCCTCAGGATCGACCGACGGCTCGAGAGCTCTGCAAGCACCTCCACAAGCTCCTCTCCGGGCAGCCTCTCCAGCTGGAGAAGATCAAGGTGGAGCCCCTGGACTGGACGCAGCCGCTCATGACTGGGATCGGAGCGATCGCAGAGTCGTGGTCCTCGGGAATCAGCCAGCTGAACATTTCTGGGCTGCTGGGGCTGCCAGGGGAGGAGAGTAAGGAGGAGGGGTTCCGTTGCAACAAGTGTGGGTGGGCCACGGCGAGCGAGGATGTGGAGGAGTGCAAGTACTGCGACAGGGAGGAAGGACAGCAAGGAAGGGTACAGTCCGTGGACAAGCACGGGTACGCGAGGATCAAGAGCGCGGAAGAGGAGATCGAGGAGGCGAAGCGGGCAAGCAGTGCAGGGGCAGCTCTTGCGGGGACGCAGTCGTCCCCGTCCATCAAGACAGGAAGCGGGATGCAGACGCGCTCGCAGAAGTGGTACGAGCAGCTGCGCAAGGTGGAGAAGGAGGCGCAAGTGAGGAACGGGCTGGTCATGAATCCTCCTTCATGGATGGAGCTCAACGACGTCGACTCGACTTCGTCCTTCTCGCTCAAGAGCCCCACCAAGTCCACGGGCTCGGGCTCGGGCTCGGGCTCGTTCAAGGGGAGGACAGGGAGCGATAACAGGAAGGAGGAGAAGGAGAAGGGGAAAAAGACGGTCTCTGCTCCCAGCAGCTCAGACAGCATCGGCATCGTCTCGCCGCCAACGAGCTCGGAGATGCTGAACAGCTCGAACAAGGTGGCGGAGAAGGTAGCGTTGAAGAACCACAGGGAGGCCGTGCGGCAAGGGAGGCAGTTCCAGCTCAACAAGGGGCAGTTCAAGAAGCACAAGGGACTGTTCCTTCGCTGCATCGACTCGGAGCGGGAGGACAGGCAGCTGGTGGTGAAGGATGTGCCGCTAGAGGAGGAGACGCCCTGGGACGATTACTTGATCGAGCTTAAGAATCAGTTCGGCAGGGACGTTGTGTTCGAGTATGAGATAGCAGGGGCGATAGTGGTTGTAGAGAACGAGAAGGATTTCGAGTCGGCAGTGGACTTGGCCATGGACAGAGGAGATCAGCTGGACGTTGTTATCAAGAAGGCCAAGTGGAACAGCACGACGGAGTACTACAACATGTCGAGCAAGGCAAAGAAGCAATGGTGGAACGGCGATGTCTGAGGATGAAACATGCTCCCCTTTCCCTTCCTCCCCTCCCCGTTCCTCTCCTTTCTCTGTCATCCCCTCCCCTCCCCTCCCCTCCCCTTCCTTCACTCATTCTTTCCCTCATCCTTCTCATCCTGCGATAAAACTTGTTGTTCTCCTCGCTCCCTTCCTCCCTCCCCTCTCAGCAGACGATCTACCTCCGACTTGACCTCTCCAGGTTGGCAGTGAGACTTCATCTTTGAAATCTATTCTTCAGATGTTAAACACTATACACCATCATCACTGCATGCAGACGTTCGATGTTCCTGCCCTCTCGCTCCTCTTTCCTCCTCCTCCTCCTCCTCCTCCTCCTCCTCCTCCTCCTCCTCCCTCCATTTCTCCTCCAACCGCTCTGCTCCTCTCCTCATCTGCCGCGGGACGAGGCGACCAGCGCACAGCAGTCCCTGCGAGCAAAGCAGCGAATCTCGCCGTGACAAACGCCTCCTGCTCCCCCTCCTGATAGCCAGAAGCTGAAAAACGATCAGTAACCTTTCCCTCCACCTTCCTCCTGCACTCCCTCCCTCCTCCCTCCGTCCTCCCTCCCTCCTCTCCCCCCTCCTTCCCACCTCTCCCTCCTCCCTCCTCCCTCCCTCCTTCTGTCCCTCCTCGCTCACCCGAATCCTGACTCGTCAGACATGTCGCATCTTGGGAGGAGACACCCGGCGACCTGGAGAAGAATCAAAGGAAGGGGACGGGGGGAGAAAGAAGGAGGACGGGGAAGGTATGGGGGGGGAGGGAGAGGGTAGCAACGTACAT